CAGCTACGGACTTGGGAGGTGTGACATTGGAAGGCAGAGAACAAGAGGAAGAGGAGGATAAAGAGGAAGACGATGAGGAAGATGAAGATGAAGATGAAGACGAAGACGAAGAAGAAGAGGAAGAAGAAGAGGAAGAAGAGGAAGAAGAAGAGGATGAGGAAGAGGAGGATGGTAAAATATCTCGGTCTCGCTTGATTGAAGAATAGGTTGCAGAGGAGGCCAGAGGTGTCATTGAGTCCTCGACCTGAGAAAGCAAGGTCATCTTATGCGGAAGACTAAGAATACTAGCCGTGGATGCAGTTGCAGCTGCGGTTTCGGTAATCCTTCTATCACTTGGAGATGTAGGCACCTCAACAGTTTCGGCTTCTCCAATTGCCGAATCAGAAGTGGAGACCGTCAAATAAGGTGGGTCGAGTGCATGACCGACGGCACGGAGCAGAGCCAAAGATGACTCCGGCAGCGTCTGGTCGCAGATTTCGGCCCGAGAGACTCGGTGCACCTGACGCCTATGCAATCGGAGGCCGCTGCGTGCCTCGAAGGTGGCGTCGCATAGTGAGCAGACCCAAGGCTGGTTTCCAAGGCGACGCCGGTTGCGAAAGAGGTTCGAATGTAGCCGACTGCGGTGTGTGCGTAATTCTGTCCTATTTGGAAACGACTAGGGTAGTAAAAGAAGTAAGGGAATGGAAAAATGCATTCCTTTTTTGACCAGCAGATATGAGAAGACCTGGCTTATCCAATAAAGGCGCAGAGGTTAATCCACATTTGTTCTAATTATATATATATATATACTATAAAAGTAGGAGAAAATACAACAAAAAGACTTGAAGAGGGACTGACTATTATAAACATGTGGAGGAAAGTTGTTTTTGCAGTTACCTCTTCGCTTTACATCATACCGTGTGCAAAAACAACAATCCAAGACTGGGCAACAGCACAACACAATTCTGAATTTTTCCTGCATTTATCGTCCAGTCCGATGCCCAGTAGGCTTGTTTAGCCAAATCCATCAGTTCACTTTAAAAAACAAAGCGTGCACGACGCCAGTAATATTCTCCTCCGGAATCTTCATCCTTTGGCTTTCTCTCGTGCAGCGTTATAGGAATAATATGTATCAAGTCCACCTTTTCTGGCAGTCTTATAGCTCTTTACCACAAAGGGAAACCAGTTGGCCATATCGAAACTGATTTCATTACTCATGGAGTTTACTCACTGGCTCAGCTCCCGTACTCTTTACACAAACTCGCCTGGTTGCTGAACGATGGATATTGGCTTAAAATAATCTCAGAGTTGGTCTTTCACGTCCGGGGGAATTAGCAGATTTCGTCCTTGCTCACTCAGCACATTCAGCTTTT